ACTCATTTTCTGCTAGTCCTTCTCAAAAGTCCATTTATACAATGTAATGTGAAACTCCTTAACTCAAAGTGTTTTGAAGACAAGCAAGGACGGAAATTCAAATGGGGTTGGAGAAGAAAACAAGCAACTTTAAATCTTTAAATGGTCCACAAATTCATGGCTTGGGGTTCTGAGCTTCTGACTAGTGTAGACTCATTTATACTGCATGTTCCTGCTGTTGGCCTTTCTTATGTAGTGGGAATAATTAAGGAAATATTTTTGGACACATGGCTGCAGGAGACATTTCAGCTCCAATAAATTCTTTTAAAATTTACAGCAAGTATTTTTAGACCTATAGTTTCCCAAACCTCCTTATCACGAAACCTATCCAAGTCGAATTTTGTGATCCCTTCAAATGTGAATGTATCTCACTGCCCTTCAAATGCATGATTAAATTACATATCCTCTAAATTTTTTCTACATCTTTTACCAATTTCCAGGGCACAGCCTTGTTTGCCGTGAGGCCGAAACGCAGCTGTCCACACTTGTCTCTTGTAAAACCAGCTCCACCTTCGGAAGGTGCCCTTGCGGTGGATCAAAAGTGTGAAAAATGTGACGCCCCGGATGGGAATTGGCTGTGTTTGACGTGTTACATGGTGTTGTGCGGTAGGGATAGAAACAAGCACATGTTGGCGCACTATTCGGCGCATCATAACCATCCTTTGTGTCTGTCCTTTGACGATCTGTCTGTGTGGTGTTACGGATGTGCCAGCTACGTGGACTATGAATTGCCGGTGAGGGATAGTTCATTTTGTGCACGTTCGAAGTGGTATCTCGGATGATGAACACTCCGAGGGATTTATTTTTCGCACCAGGAGTACACCTGCTGGTGCCGCCGATTTTTAGTGCTTTTGATTGAAAACTGTGTACAAAACTTCTTGATTCTCAGTTTTTAATGCTTCGTGTCATGCTTTGAACTAATATCGCTAGAAAGGTTCAACCGATGTTGACTGAAGGGAGAAATTTACTCATTCGCATGATTATGGTGTTTCGCGAATGGGTTTAGGGAAATGGTGAGTATTGTATGCCTAGAATGGATGTCAAATTGTTGACGCATTTCTGAGGGAAAAGGTTTTACAAAACGCCTGAACTTTCATTTTTATTATTGGTCCCGTAAATGTAATAACGGAATCAATTTTATCTCCGTAAAAAATGTTTAGTGTCCCAGCGCGTTCTGTTGATCGCTTGGTCGGTTTGATGATGCTAATGTTTCCTGGATCATTCTCCGAATGGATTTAGTGAACAGATGCGTTTTGAATGCCTAAAATGGATGTTAAATTGTTGACGCATTTTTGACCGAAGAGGGTTTTCAGATCCCTGGTTGCCTAGAAATTCACTTGTATCATTTGTCCCGTAATAAATGTGGTAATGGAATCAATTTTATCTTCTGTACAATTGTTTATTGTCCAGATGCGTAGTTTTCTTTGGTTTGATCGGTTTGATGATGCTTTTGGTTTTTTTTTTCAATTATTTCGCGAATGGATTTTGTGAGAGGATAAGTATTGTGTGTCTAAAATGGATGTCGAATTTGTTCACGCATTTTGAACCGAAGAGGGCTTTCAGATCCGTGGTTGCCTGGAAATTCACTTGTATTCTTGGTCCCATAAATGTAATAGTGGAATCCATTTAATCTTCCGAACAATTGTTTTCGTCCCCACGCGTAGTTTTTATTCATTGCTTTGGTCGGTTAGATGCCAATTATAAACGCGACGGGTTGAAAATGGCTTCCGACGTGGTCTGGAAATTCTCTTGAAAATCTTGATGGAATTTCGAATTTCTTACATCAGTTCGTTCCTTGGAAACGCCGACGTTTAAATTGTGTTGCCGAAAATTTCCTTGACTGAGTTACCAATGGGATTAACTCCGTATCCGCAAATGTTGTGGAAATCGTCGAAATCCAGGGTGTATAGAATGGCGCCAGCGAGGCCATTATCAACCACGTATTGAGCCTATTTGAAAAGTCAATCATAGATTTATTTCAGGAAATTCAAGCTGAATTCAGTTGATCCAGGGATTACATCGCTAAAGTTACCACATGGAGAAACTTTATTATTTTAATAATCTTTTCAATGTTAGTAGAACTGTCCAAGATGACGAAAAATTGGTGGATAACTTATTTGAATTAATGTACGAACTCGACGTCAATCTATAGAGAAGTAGTTAGTTCCTTGTTTCATAGATGTCGCCAGTGAATTAATCCCTCAGAGATTTCATGTGGGAAGAAACTCGCGCCGAATTTTTGTTTTTGACAATCGCGGAAAAGATTTTATTGAAACCCTCGATCCCTTAAGCCGAAACTAACCTTGAGTGTTGCTCCGTCTGGACTTTCGTATCCGTACCATTGATTTGTGCTGAAAACAGCGTAGTGACCTTTAACTTCATCCTGCCAACGTTCGTCGAAACCTTCTCCGAGATCTTCTAGCAGTTCGCAAAGCTGCGTGAGAATTACACGGTATGTTTTATGACAACCAATAGGGCAACAGCAATTTCATGGCTTGGTTTTATTTTGGACAATGCATTATGAAGATAACCTTGTTTTAAAATTGGTATCGAATTTTCCGGATGACCGCCGCACTTCGTGTGGTTCTATGTAGACTTAGTCTGACCGCGTGAAAAGCGATTCAGATTCTCGAATACGCGTCTTCAAAATTGAGACCAGTTCATCAAATTATACTTGGCATTATGTTTTTTAATTTTCTTCACTACGAGTCCTACCGAAAGAAAAAGCTTTGATTACCTCCCTTGAATGTAATGCTTTAAAACATTTGAAAAGTATTTTCTCTTATTGTAGAAAGAGTGGAGATGCCGCGGATCAAATTCTCATCTGGATCCTCTCGTTATAATTTGAAATCCGATTCTTGTTCATTGATCAACGTGTAACATTCCACGCACTGAATGATCCATCGGAATTTCGAAAATATTGAACACGTAATTAAATCCGATTTGCTGAAATTTATAATTATTTGAAGTAGGTCTCATCATCCCCGTATTTACCCCTCATTCTTGAGGGAAATTAGAACAATTTTTTTGCCTGAGAAGTATGAGAAGGTAGGTTAATCATCGGTGCACCTGTTCTTCACCTATTCGATTTGTGGGATGGTAAAACTGAAAAGATACCCGTGTTCTCACCTCGTTGAAACCCATGAATCCGGGGGTATCGGTGATGGGTCCTCCGTTACCAGGACCGCTTGTGGGTGCGTAGAAATCATCTTGTTCGGGGTCAAGGAGAGTGAAACCTCTTCCACCGGTTGAAATAGCGATCAAGAGGCTCTCCTTTTCTGCTCCATTCGCCAGCCAAGCATTCACGCTTGCATTCTTCGATCAATCAGATTAATCAATCGATTCGGCATTCAATTACGACGTAACCCATGTTCTTATTTGGGTAGATACGGGGATTTCCCTCGGTAAGTGGTGTGATCAATTGCGAAAACGGGTGGCAGTGGATGCGAAAGATTTTGATTTGAGCTTTCAGGATGTGGGGGAAACCCATGAAATACCCAAAAAGCTAAAATTATACGTGCATTTCCGAAACTTTGTAGCGTTTTGTTGTCCTTCATTTGACTCGATGTCATTTCTGTAACTCAGTACGCATGCGGTTTATTTTATAGGTGGGGGACGTGTATATGTTAGAATGTTTTGAAATATACATGGAAATTTGAGAACAATCAATTAAAGAATTACTGTGAAGTTGGAGATCTTGACTTGGATGAAAGACAAAGACAGAATCAAATTCATTTGAAGTTGAAATTTCGTGTTCGCAGTAATTGTTCTAATTGCCTTTTCCTCAATTATTTGTGAAGTTGCTTTCGTCGTAACTGGGGTTGGCTCTAAAGGTGCGTAAAACTCACCTTGCCTTTTAAGTATTGTGCTGCAATCCATTTTTGTTTTGTTTTAAAATTCTTGGGAAGGAGAAGGAATATTTTTGAATTTGTATGCTTACAACGTTGAATGGTGCGTCGACTCCGACATCCAGGGAATGTTGGTAAAGGGGTGCCACGTGGTGGGTATGTTGTTCCCAGGCACCATGGAAGTCCATGGTTTTCAGGCTGATGAAATCTGCAACTCTAAAATAATTTTCAAATGTTGAAATTTGATCCGAAATGCTACAGAACATAATTATATCGCGGTTTCCGCAGTTCCGCGCGAGATTAAAAGCTTTCCGACGTTTATGGAAACCTGAAAAACTTCTGAAATTTCAATGAGAAACAAAGCGTAACAACTCCTTTACTCAAAGGCATAAAATTTTCTGGATCATTTTTGTCTATTTTATTGACGAAGGATAGAGAAAAGCAAAATAAACGTATCTTTACATGTTCTGAAAGAAGTGTATGACTGAGAAAAAAAACTTGCCTCCAAGTTCAGTATCCTGTCAACTCATTAAAGAAGCGATTTAAGACCCAGAATATGACCTATTAAATTTTTCCGGAATTCTTCTTTCTTTCCTTTTAAAACAAAAATGCTTGTTTCTCTGTCTCAAAATCTTCCTGACTCGGATTTTTTTGTATGGTCCCTTGCAGTTCGACTTGAATAGTTTTGACTATTTTTGCTTTTATTAAAGGAAGTATGGCTTCTTTAAAAAAATATATGTAACTTATCAAAAATGTAGTTTTTTCACGGATTGCGAAATGTATTTACCCCGGAGCAATAATCGCTTGGACTTCTGTAGCTGTGTTCCAACTCGATGGCAAACTCGGTGGAATACTGACTGTGAAAAGTAATCCGGCCTCGTGGAAAGCTTCAGACATTTCAGTGATCAATGCTGCGATATCGTCCTGTGAAAAATAATTTCATGAATATTAAATATGTAAAATGCAAGTGAGAATCTTAATTGATGAAAGTCGTTTAAAAATATACCCTCTGGTCGAAAGTCCCGCCATTGTAAGTGGGAAGCAGCCAATTGAGGTCGACTCCGTCGAAGCCGTAAGTTTTGATGAAGTTCACTCCGCTGGTAATTAATTTCTGCCGATTCGCTGGATCTCCAGCTGCCTGCAATTGAGTTGATTACGTCGTCGACAATGATGTTGACTAATTACTTCGATTAATTTGACGACTCACAGTCCACAATCCGTAGGGGTCATCGGATGATCCTCCCATGGACAACAAAGTCTTCAAATTCGGATTCTGATTCTTCAAAGCATTAACCTGTGCATAATAACCTGGAAAAATTTGCTTGTCATTTTCTTGAAATTTTCAGGTCGATTGGTTTGAGAAATAGCTTTTGAATTAGTGCACGTGAACTTGGTGGAAACTTTTAAGATTGCAAAAAGAACAAAATGTATTCAAATATTTATTCAACATTACAAAGTACTGTATTAGTCGAGATTCATCTCTTTTATGTGGTTAAGAAATATTTTGATCGTGTTTTGAGTGATTTTCCACTAATATTTTATCTTGAACATGATAATTTTGAGATTTCATGTGCTGTGGGAAGATTGAGTTGAATCCTTGTGTATTTTTTCTATTTGCTCCAAATTTTGTTCACTGTGCATAGAATAAATGTTTTCCTTTCATCTCACAGGATAAGAAGAGCAAACTCTAGTTTTTTTTCTACTTTTTATTTGAAATGTTGTGCAAAATGGAAATACTGAGAGGCAAGAAAACAGACAGAAGTGTATTCAATCTACAACAGTATTTAAATTTAATTTATGAAGGGCTCTGCTCTGTCACTAAGTCATTATTTTTAAGCCAGTCTGATACACACTTTATGGGCTCAGTTTCTATGGAGATTTGAAAGTCAAAAGAAGATGAAGAACTTCAATATAAATCTAGTAATAATTCTTAAATTTAAAAAAATTACCTGTGTTATTAATGATTTATCTGTGAAGTTTTCTCATGTGTTCCCAAGCAGTACTGTATTTATCAGTACTTCAGAGGTGCTTGTAGAAACAGAGTTGTTTTTCATGTGGTTTCCTCAGTAACCTTGTTGCTGAGGCCCTTTTGATAGTTTTACTACTGCTTAGTATGCAGGAGTCTTCTTATGAAGTAAAGGTGTGGTTTCCAGAGCATTGGAAGTAATTAAAGTTGCAATGAAGGAATTTAATTTAACAATTACTGTATCTACAAAATCAGGTATATGTGTATTGGATAAAAATAGGTTGATTATTCATTAATATCATTAATATTGATCTATGTAAGTAAAACTAACATTTTATGTACTGTACAGAACTAAAGATGTGTGTTAAACATTAAAATGTGAAATTCATCAATCTTTGCTAAATATAGGGTTTATTTGGGTGGATTACTTGACTATTTTCAAGCTTTCCGTTTTTCTTTGGAGGATGTTTTTGAAAATATGAAAAAAGCGTTATTGATTTTTTTTTTTTACGTTTTGGGAGATTTTTTTTTCATACGAACCTTTGCCTCCATCAACTTCCAAATCAGCCCAAGCGTCTGAAGACTGAAACTGGAGCAACTGCGAATTTATGTTCGCGAAACCATACATGAGATGCGTACATTCTGTGGGTTCGATGTTTCCGGGTTCGAATTTCCCATTTCCTTGTCTGTATCCGGCCCAATTGGTGAAGTAACAAGCCAGGATCTTCTCTGCCGCCACTGTTTCCAATTTATTTTTCTTTCCTCGTTAATTGCTCTCACTGTTTTCAAGATTTTTTTCATCTCACCCTGGTTGCTGGATGATATTGTGGCGATACAGACTGTAAAAAGTAGCACCGCGATTTGTCTTGTCATGATCACGCTGTTGATCTGAAATAAAAAAAATGAATGAAATATTTTGAATCACTCGAATGGCGAGTCAGAAACCACAGAATCGAAATTCGTGAAATTTTCACTTCAAATAACTATGTATGTACCAATTTTTCTTGAAAATAGGTCATACTGTATTTTAAAAAAGTATATCCCCTGCGTAAGCGAGCATAAACGTTTGTACAGATGACTTAGCTTTTGTTACAAATTCCACCAAGACCAAATAAAAAGTGAAGTCATTTCAATTTTTGCATTCTACGCATATAATTTGCTATGCGAAGAATGATTCGAGTGTTTTAGAATTTTCCGTTTCTTTAAAAAACCAAGAAATTGAGGATATTTATTCATATTGCGCATGTGAAATTAATGATACTGCATGAGTTTGACGTGATTTGAAAATTTTTTAAATGCATGGGTTGATCCTAGAATATTTGAAAACCCTACTTTTTACAGTATTTAAATTCATTGTTATTCTTCAGCGTGAATTAATTTGACTTGACAAATTTCGTATGCTTTTTTGAAGGATTATTAAGAAAAGTAAGTTAATTATTATGAATATTAAGTGAAAGGGTCTTATTGTGAGGGAAAGCGTGTAGTTCAACACTAATCCATCAAAGCTACTAAGTAAAGTGAATCCGGGTCATTTATTTCTTCGACATAAACGTAATGATGTAATTCCGCGGAAATGAAGAAGGAAACTGTCGTGAAATGGATAAGAATAATTAAATAACGTGCCTCTTAAAATTATCAGTGTGTGAAGGTTGCGCATATGCGCTTTCATTATTATTGAATTGAATAAATGTGATGATTCGCTTGCCTTGGATACTCGCATAAACTCCAGATAACGAAATTTGCGAATTGCGCCATTTTCCGTGTTTTTTAATTATTGGTTGTTTATTTTTCAGGAATTAACGGAAATTCATCGCCGGGTTTACAAGAGCAAGTTCAGGGAAAACCGACCCGGAGATAATGCAACAGCGCAAACCACGATTGATAATACCTTGGAATAATCTCTGGGAGTTATCCATCAATCAGTGCGATCAATAAATTTGAATGGGATTTTATAAACTATTTGAAAGTGTTCTGGTCGTCGGTAATTTTTCTCTTTTTTTTTTTTGCGTGTACGTTTTCCCCCTAGGCCTCTTAATCCCTTTAAATCTGAGTTAATCCCAATTATGCCAATGTTTGAAGAATTCGAGAATGTCCGAATTTTCGCGGGAAGGGAAAGTTCGAAAGCTTTTGAATCGTCTCAAATTCAAATCATGGGAGGACATTTTCGAGGGCAAAGATCTGAGTTCCAAAGTCGCTGTGATTACCTGTGGTGAGTTGAAATAAATTCTAAGATTTCTGAAAAAGGATGGTTTGGACAAATGGAGATCAGTTTCGTTTTTTTTTAATTGCAGAAATTTGTCGCAAAAATATTTCAGTCCTGAATTGAATTTTATTTTCCTCTTATGAAACTTGAAATTTATTTCTAAAAATATTCATAGCGGAGTTGCTTCTGCATTTTTATCTCCACACATGTCAAGTCACATCAGGATTACAAAGGTTATGTTAGCTTACATGCCTTGGTGTCAAGAATTTCATGAGCATATCTTGGTTAAGCTCAAACTAAGAGTGGTTAATTAGGATAATTATTGTTATACATAATTTATTTTTATGTAATACAGTTGAACCTCTAGGTCAAATTTTTGACTTAGAGAGGTTCAACTGTATTAACTAAAAATAAATTATGTATAACAATAATTAGCCTAATTACAATGTAGCCTAATTGCAATAATTAGCCCAATTTTTTTTTCTGGTCCCTTAAAATTTGACTTTGGAAGGTTTTGACTTGGAGATGTCTTGAGTTATATAGAATTGTTGATGTTTTACTTATAGAATCAAGCATTTTCATAGTGGGAAACATTGAAGAATTTCACTAAATTGTACATTGTGATATTCTGGGCCAAATGTTGCTTCTAAAATGAGTTGACAGTGCACTCAACTTGGAAACACGGGTTCATTTGCCCAATTTAGTCTGTCAGATTCTGTCAAAGCGCATCAAATTCCAATTCTTTATTTATTTTTGTTTCCTAATCCAATAAAATTATGACCTGAAGGCCTCAAAAATTCAACTTATGAAGGTTTTAGAAGAAAAATTTTCAAAATAGGGAGGTTTTTAATACATTATTTTCAAGGGAATTCAGATGGGGACTGAAAAAATTTTGACTTACTGGGAGGCATGACTTGGCAAGGTTCAACTGTACTGTATTTTATGATTCATTGAATATAAGGTTATTTTAATTGTGACCTGAGTATCAATTTGCGTGAAATCACTTCATGCATGTTTTCTGATTTATTCATGGTTTCATTGGTTCAAGGAGTTGGTCTTTGTGTCTGATAAATTTTGACCTCAAATTCGATTGCAAAACTTTCCGAGGACGACTATATAATTTCATCTCGCAGACGGAAAATCAGGAGCTAGTATAAAGACGTGCCAAATCCTGGCCAAACATGGCTGCCGTGTTGTCCTCGCATCGCCAAATCCAATACCCATCAGCACTGGCACAAATGCAGAAAACATCCGAGTCGTCGAATGCAATTTCCGCGCATTGCGAAGCGTTCGGAATTTTGCGAACGACTTTTTGGCGCTGGAAACGCGACTGGATTTTTTGGTCTTGACTGCCGATGCCCAGCTTTGCGGAGATGAAGTGACGGAGGACGGCTTTGAAGGCATTTTGCAGAGAAATTATTTGGCACAGTTCTTCCTCATGTGCTTGTTGTTGGATTTGTTGGTGAGGTCGTCTCCGAGTCGGATCGTCGCCGTGTGCTCTAATTATGATGCTCACAGGTGTGTTCTTTCAACCATTTATTCTCCGACTTGACATAATTTGCAAAACGAACTCTTACGTTAATGTGTTCCAAACGAGTTGCGAAAACGGGAGTTTTCAAATTTTATTCGCACGGTATTTCCCCTTAAATACGCGCGAAGAAAAAAGGATGTAAAAACCTATGCGATTTTAAATCCAATTATGGAGTTTCAAGGTTTTTTTTATCATTTTTTGCAGATTGTCAACGTTGAACACATCTACATTTTCTCGGTCAATTTTCTTCACGAGGAATCCTGCCAATTCCAAGTCGTTGTATAGTACTTATGCGGACTCAGTTTTGTGCCTGGTGACTTCCGTGCTTTCTTTCAACCGGAAAATGCGGAATGCGTGTAGAGCCCGGGACAAGACTGGCTCCGTTGTGCAAATTTCCACGCCTCCTGTGCAAGCTTTCGTTATTGGCCAGAATGGCAAATGGTCGCTGAGAATAAGTGCGTTTTTGGCCAAGAATCCCTGTTTCCGCATGGTTTCTAATGCTGTTGGAAAGGTGTTCAAAAGAAGCGAAGCCAAGAAGGCGAGATTAGTTTGCACTGCGCTGGTTGCTGCTGATTCCCCTGCAGGTCATTTTATGAAGGTAAACATTTTTTAAAAATTAATTTTATATGCTGTATAGAAAAGACAAACCTCGTATATACCCTGCAAAAAATGTCAGCATTCATGAACCCATTGGAAACCCATTCACAAATGGTCAATCCTGCCCATTCAGCAAATGGTCTTACAAGAATCTTTGAACTAGTTTACTGGGCATTCAACTAACGCCCAAATGAATGCCCCTAATAACTAGTCAACAAATGCCCAAATGAATGCCCCCATATATTTTTAGTGCTGGCATTGGAGTTGACCATTCATGAACCCAGTAAACAAATGGGTCTTCAAACTGTCTCAAAAATGTGCCTAAAATTAAAATTTCAATTTATCTATGTATCATATTTCAATTTTCCACATGCCAGTCACCCACAGCACCTGTAGCCTCAATTTTAATGCATTTTCTTTCATCAAGTCGAGTTAATTTTACATTTCACACGCTCTTGCATGCAACGTTAGAATCGTTTAAAAAATTATAACTCAACAAAAACGGAAGATACTTCGAGCTGCTGAATTGTCTTTTTTAATTAAATTTTTGCGCTGAATTTTTATTCCAAGAAATTGTTCCTTTCCAAAAGTTGCTATATACGAGCTACAATCCGTGTTGATGATGATGATGTTGACGTAAAAATATTCTCGTTCATGTTCATTTTTTGAATGAACGTCTGAGGATTTTTAAATTATTCAATTTTGAGATTTTCTTCTTTTAAATCCACGTGCGTGACCCTGGCCTGCGGAAATGCTAGAATTTTTCAAGGTTTCATTTGGGTAACATATACTGTTTAGACCCGTTCGCATAAATTGAGTGATACTTATACATTATGCAACAGTATTCAGGAATTCATGTCACGTCAAGAAGAATGCGTGTGAGAATAGGGTTGCTTCATAAGTTTTTGCTTGTCGAAAAACATGTAAAAGTCGGCGGAACGTTATCCTTACGAGGTGATACGATCTGTCTTTGAACATTAACGGAATTTTTGAAATGTTTGTTTGAATTTTTGCGCACTGAGGTTGGGACTGGGACAAGATCGTGTTGAAAATACTGTACTGTATTTCCCATGATTATGAGGAAATTTGGTTTACCCGCATTAAAAAAAATGCATGCATAGTAATAATTCATTGTTACAACACATTGGGTCCCCACATGACGAAACTAAACCATCTATTGTTGTCCAATTTTTTTGTGTGAACCGAGATTTCCCTTGATACATTATGAACGATTTAATTGGTTCCAGACACTTGCCAAAAACACTATCATTAATCTTAAAAGGGTATGTTTCCTAGTTTTCAGCTTGTATTTGTAACTTTTAAATTGAGTTGTACTGTTCTAATTTCTGTTGATCCTGGCAAGTGATTAAAAAACTGTTCATCTCTTCCAGCAATCCTGTTTGATATTGATGACCCAAATTTTAGTTTAACAACTATTTGCCTGGTTTATTATGGATTTGTGCTATTGCTTCCATGTTTGTTGTTGAAAGTATTCTACTCAGAAACTTGGGTACCCAAAACATTTTCAATGATCAATTATCACTGTCATAACTTCTGAAATGTCCTTGATATACATGTGGTACCTTGCAATTTGATCTCCTGCAATTCAACTGTCCTGCAAATTGATGGTCAAATTTGTTGGGAGGTGGACTCTCAATTCAACCTCTGCCCTGCAATTCTACCTGTGGAGAGACATGAAATGTCAAATGCCATGTAGAAAACATACCATTTGATGTTGTCTCGCAATTTGACCACTTTGCAATTTGACTGTAGTCCAGCAATAACAGATTAGGGTTGAATTGTGAGGTAACACCTGTATACTGGTATATCACATATCCTTTCTTTATTTTTTTATTTATATTTTTGAAAATTTGACCTTGAAGAAACTTCTGCTTAACTCTTTCAATATAGAGGTGGACTCTCTCCATAACAAAATTCAAGGGACCAGAAAAAAATTGTTTTAGAGAGAATTGTATTGCAGGGAACCTCTTCAACATTGGGGAAGAATCCCATCTATGGGGCACAAAAAAAAAAAGACTGGTTACACAGTGAAAATCGTTGTAGACAATATTGTTGTAGAGAGAGTCAACCTTTATATATGTATATACTGTATATATTAATGTGTATATACAGTAAATATCTCATTACAACTAAGCGATTGGGATGAGAGAAATAGCTTCATATTGTCAAGATAAATTAATTTAAAAGTACTGTACTCACCACATTTTATATTGTGGTTACTGGACTGGGACCTATATAAGAACATCTTCGTTCTAAGCGATTATTCTTTATGACGAGATTCCACTGTATGAATAGATCTTCTCCGATGTGATTTAATTTTGGTAACTAAATTTTTTTTTTAGGAATCTGGAGCTTGAAAAAAAAAACTTCTGATCCAACCCCTATTCGTATACAGTACTGTATATACCGTAGATCTTCTCCCTCGTGATTCTATTTTGGGATCTAAATTTATTTTAGGGAACTGGAAAATTCGGGCCCTCGGAGACTGCCGGAAGCAAATTGTTCCAGGAAATGCTTTGGGTATCCAGTGTTGATGTTATCCAGACCCGAATGGGACCCGGTTCTTGCAAACAAGCCATTTGGCGAGGCCTGAATCTCGCCGTTGGTCCGATGCTTTCCGGTGTCCTCAAGAAATATTCCGTCCAGGAGGATTGAAACTTATTCTTTTTTTCCCTCTCTTATACAGGTGAAGAAAATTTAGATTTTTTTATTTTCTCTCTTTTTTGTCCTTGGTCATCGTTGGGGGATTTATGTCGATTGTCTGTCCTCTTTCAAGGTTGTATAGATTTTTTTTTCAAACCATGTTTTCTCAGATTGCAGATAATCTTTTTTTTTCTATCTAGGACTTTGATGCATTTTGATGAATACGATTGAACATTTTATTATCCATGCTTTTGATTATCATTGTCCCGTATCTTGTCCCACCTTTTGGTCTCGGAAGAATTTTTCATGATTCACCGACTGAACTTCCGATTGTTCAAATACCGAATGCCACGCGTAGCTATTTCATTTTATTTTTAATCGAGTGGATAAAAAAGGTGGTGCTCGTGATAAGCGGGTATATCCACATTTTTTTTTAACTTAAAAAGTGTTGGTGTTTATTATCCATGTAGATTTTTTTTTAAATAAAGTCATTTTCAATGGAACGATGGGAAATTAATTTAATTTGCTGGGTTCAATTCAAGTTGCAATTTTGACTTTTATGTATTTTATTTTTCAAAACTTCGCCTTTTTAGTAACTGAAAATGGGTTGCGTGTCGGTATTTTATTCAAATTTTAGGACCAGCAATCGAGTATACAAATATGGTAATTCGTTTCACTGATGATTTGATGGGTGATTTAAAAAAAATTCCCTTTCTTCTGCACCATCAAGTCATTGTGAGATTAATCATGTAATGTTTTAATTGGGAAGAACAATGTTCAGCAATATTGATTTGAGTGATGGAGGAGCAGTTATTGTTTCCCGTTTTCAATGAAAATTTTAAATTTTCTTGTAACAAGCTTCAGACACAGCTTTGAATGTAAGCATAGCTTTGAAAGATCCATGTGCTGAAATTATGAAAATTGAACCTATCTTAGGTCAAATTTAAAGGGACTCCAAAATTGTCAATTTTTTTTTCTTCTGTTGAGGGCTTTCTTTGCTTGGGTTAATGATTAATTAGACTTATTTTCTGGTCGAATTATTATGACTTGATCATATTTTATGTATCCTGTATAGAAATATTTCTAATTGGCTGTTGGGAGCATGAAGGAAAGAATTTGAATTTAGTTGTGTGTTCTGTTGTATTTTCTGGAACTTGTTTTTTTCAAGATGTATTTTTTATTGCATAAGCTTTTTCTGCCCAAAACTTAACTGTGATAAGAATTTTGAATATTCAGATGTGAACTGCTGAATTTTATTGAAGCAGGATTTTAACAACAACAACAAAAACCAGATACTGTAATTCAGCAGATGTCAACTATGTCAACTGGATTTTATGCTTTAAAAAAAAAATTGAGAGGTCTTTCAATAAGGGGCGTCGATTCAGGTTAGCAACTAAGACCTGTTTTTCTTCCTGGCGAACAATGTGGGTAGAAAAAAAAGCATCACTTCGAAGGTCCCTGAGGATTTCGAAAGATTTTCATCTTCCTATATTATTTCGCAATGCCCGAAGCTGGGCATGATGGGTGACTTCAAGTTCCAAGATTCTCTCAAGGTTTTGTTGAACTTTTCATTTTTGTTTGGAACCTCTGGTTTATCGAACGTGTGTAAATTTCTTTGACTTCCTTTTTTACTTTCTATTCTGTTTTCAATCAGGGTTAACGTCCTTCACTGGAATGTCCCCTTCGTTTTTTTTTTCCTCCGCTTTCAAATGAAACGTTTCGACTTGAATTTGCCCTTGGGGTTTCCATGGGGTCAGCGCCGAGATTATTTTATTCTATCAGTTGGGTTCTTGGGGAATGTTGGTTCAGATCGCAGGTTCTTTCGTGTGTGCGTTTTTTTCCCCATTTTTTTTTTACTTCTGATTGTGTTTCGAAACGAAATGAACCTTGCAAAGTTAAATTTCTACTACCCCGCAAGAAATTGCCTGAAAGAAAATTCCATGTTCTCGCTGAGATCAAACAGTTTTCATATTTGATGCAATTAAAATTGTAAGCAAATATCTTCTGTGATTTTAAATGCGATGATGTTTGATGAACGAAGCTCGCAGTTTTTTGAAATTCAGACTCTGAAAGAAGAGCTTTAAATAAGTCTCAACATGTGTCCCTATATGAATTTTAAATTGAATTTTTTTTTTAATTCATCTAAAAATTATTTTGTAGGTGGATCGAAGTGCAATTTTGTGAAGATGGTCTTGGAGAAGTTGCCAGGGTTGCTCAGCCCTATTCTCGGCTCGTCGTCCGAAGTGGTTTTGCTGTTTACTGCGATTTTGGCAATTCTGGTCGTGTTTGTGTCCATTTGGTGGCTCATGTCTGAAAGGGTCAGAGCTCGTAACCAGCTTATTTACTCTGGTGAGGTCGCAATTTTCCAAATACAGTATTCGCGGAACTGTTCCAATGGTTTATAAATTTTTTCTGTTTTAAAATGCAGTGCTCGCTTTTTTTACAGAGAGACAAAACGATGAAAATCCGATTTGGAAGTTGAACCGCTTTTTAAAATACATAAACCAATGCAATCGATCAGGAACGAAGCAAATTTTCGGAAATTGTTTTTGGAATAAAATTGCACCGAAAATTACAATGCAGTGTATTAGTTCGATTTGTTTAATCCATGTGTGAGATACGATTACGTATGTTGCAAAAAACGGCATTCTTCACATCCCCGGAAGAAAAATATAAAGGGAAACAATAATAAAATCACTTGAGGCAGGAAAGTTTCAGCGAGTTTTAATCTTAAACTTTTTTTCTTGAACTCCTTCGGAAGATTTAGAAACAGATGGAACTTATTGAGACAGCTCAGTTCGAAGGAGGAGTTAATTTGTGACTGCCAGTGACATCTATCCCCACCAAGTGAATTATTATCTGAATTCAGTAGACAGTAAAGCCTTTATATCACAAACTGAACGAATTTTTAAACTTTCTAATCGGTGTTATGAAGTATTGCTGTCCAGTGATGATTAATACCGGGGTAAAATTCAATGACTTAGTGCGCTTTAAATAATATAAATTCACTTATAGTGTAGGTGGATAATGGGGAAATTTAATTCTGTACAGTACTGAGTTTCAAAAGTTTCCAGACTTATTGGAAAATTTTTATGAATCTATATAAGGAATTTCCACATTTTAATGACTCCAGTAATTTTGAAGGCGAGATATTGTTGAACCATGATTTCCAAGTCCATGAAGACAACATCTAGTATATGTGTGGGTAGATGTCACTGGCAGTCGTGAAGTACAGTAACTTTATTTATTTTTTTGCGGAGTCATCCCAAGTTCAACTTGCTTTTACATTACTTGGAGAAATTTTACAATTGATGAACAAGTTTTTCATTTTTCTCCTTCAGCCAGTAATTTTTTTTTTGTCCTCCCCCCTGAAGATATGTGAAAAATGCCGCCTTTTTCGGCTGTACATGGAATTATTTGACTAATTTTTGATCCCATGGTGCTGAATTTTAAAAATTTAACTACTGTATTACGTTTTGATTTAGTCTTTTTTTGATCCTTGAAGCTGTGTCGAAAAGACCTGATCGACAAGATGTTGCTGAGGAAGACAACAATTACAATCCTCTCCCCAGTGGAGAAAAGTTCGAACATATTCCATTCGATTACCATCGATCGTCCACGGAAAAAATGCTGGAAAGGTCCAACGATTTTTACGAACTTATGCAAAAACGGAGATCGATAAGAAAATTCTCCTCTGATCCCGTGCCTTGGTCTGTGTTGGAGACAATTGTGNTACCATCGATCGTCCACGGAAAAAATGCTGGAAAGGTCCAACGATTTTTACGAACTTATGCAAAAACGGAGATCGATAAGAAAATTCTCCTCTGATCCCGTGCCTTGGTCTGTGTTGGAGACAATTGTGAAAACTGCGGGTATGCATTCCTCCATAATTATATTGAGTGAATTGATTGATTGCAAGTTTTGGATTTTTCGTTCTACTGTATATACTTATAGGAACTTCTCCGAGCGGAGCCAATGCTCAGCCATGGACTTACGTTGTAGTATCACTGGTCTCTTGCTTCCTTCTCTAAGCAGCCTAACACCTTAACCTCCTTCTCTAATTAATACTGTCCTCCTACCCATATATTAAGTTGGGTCACAAGGGGTTGGAAAAACCCGGTCGCCTAGACCAAATTTCCATAATTTTTTTAGGAGCAGCATATTTCCAAAACTATTTTCTGTGCTGGACCAGCAAAGTTTCCTAAAATGTTTTGCAGACTCAAAAAAGTTTTGCTTGAAGGACTGTATGGCAGATATTTTAAAAGTTTCAGTTTTTGCCAAAAATTAAGTAAAGAACCAATGAAGCAGCTGTAGTGGAATGTCTTCAAAAATTAAAAAGGTGTGCTTGAAGAAATATTTCTCAGAATGGCAAATTTAAATAATTTATTTCAGCATATGTAAATTTGTTGCAAGCGTTATTTGGAGAAAAGCCAATTTTTTTATTTTTCAGGAGATACTTTTCAAAATTGTAGATGAAGATAGACTTCATTGCTACTTTTGATAAATTTATTATGCAAAGAAAATGT